CGGCTACCACTTTCACTGGTGCATATGGTTCCCCGGTAGAATCTACTGTAGAATACACTGACAATGAGTCTGGTAGTTGTCTTTGTCAAACGCTCCGTACCGGTGTGTTAGTTGTTACGGACGAGAATTGATCAGATTTGACCATCTAACCATCCGCGTAAGCAATGCACATCCATACACACCTTCCGCCTTCTAAGGCCGATGTCAGACTTTGCGAATCGCGCGATTCGCTAGCGTCTGCGGTCGCGTCGCGGCCAGTGAATCACTCAATTGGCTGGTACCGCAAACGCGACCGCGGACGCTAGCGAATCGCGCGAATCGCTAGTAGCGAATCGCGCGATTCGCAAAGTCTGACATCGGCCTAAAGGCACAATAAGATAGGAATAACAAAAATAAAACATGTCCCGGAATCAGAAGGGAACGAAACCATCGGGCCGTGCCAGTGTCGGATCTGTCTGATTATATGAAAGAGGCCCTCATGCAGCGCGATACCTTTACCCTACAATTTATACGCATGTCAATTTCTTATAGCGAAGAAGGGTGTATCTCAGGTAAATGAAACTTCACAAGTTTACCGCACATACATTGACCTTTCGGGACAATCTTTTTCTCGAGCAACAGGAAAGTGTATGGCCTGGTCAGGCCTGGCGTAATGCCAATGTGCCAGCAGAACAGCATCCACCATCGCACCATGTGCAGAAAGGCAACACCTGTGCAATTAATTGAAGAATCGACGAGGGTTTTTTTGGGATGGAATACTCGAGGATAAGTAAACATTTCCAATCGCTCAAGGACGTGCATACTCTCAAATTTACGTCACCGCACGTGCTCCACTCGATACAATCCAATAATTTCCAACACTGAGACGTGCTCCAAAAAATTAACACCTTTTGCATTATGAACCCTTCATTACGAAGGTGTAATGATTTTACACACCTGGGCATTTCCTTCCAATACTTCCGCAAGAAGGTACGTCGAATTAACCAAACCCGATCGCTCTCGTACGGTTTCCGCTCTTCGTCCACTTCTTCTTCTAGTGTCATTGACCCTGAAACTCTACATTCCAGATGTCAAGAATTATGAGAAGCAATTTGGTTGAATGAATGCTAGTCGCCACATCACTCTAGCGTGACAAAACAAACTCCCAGCGGATTCCTCATTATACCGATTCACTGTGAAATAAGCCACGGGAACGACCAATCACGTGTGTGTATTCCAGCTGTTTTGAAAACCTGTCAAATATTTATTAGTGGCAGTGCAAAATATCCATTATTATAAGCAAACCAATAGAACGCACGGACAGAGAAAGTTCCTCATTCATATGCGATCGTAATTTAACAATGAATACCTGTTCGTCAACCGAGCAAACCAAACACGGAATACGTACACAATAAAACTTAACACAACAAATATCAAAGAAACTATGTTCACTATTAAGGTATAAAGAAGGAAAAAGTAAATACATGCTATTTCAAGTCCTTTACGAAAAGTTTAGAGGACTTCAGAGATCCTCGGCTGCAAGGCAGAATATCGCGCAAATAAACGAAGTTAGTAATACTGGAACCAAAGCCCATATCCCGTATCGGGCAAAGAGGAAAACCACGAAGAATCCAAGTAAAACACCATAATTTGCCAAGATCTAAATGAAGTATCGTACATCAAAATCAAATCATTTCTAGTTGCAAAAAAAAGCAAACCGCACCCGAATACGTAGCGTAGGAGGGGTAACCTTCACGGTTTTGGAGAAGACAGGGGAAGAAAGTGGGCTTGAAGGATTCGGGCAAGGAGGGTCCATAACTGTTCTCGCGATCGTACCAAGAACTAAATTATTGCTCACGGCAACCACAAATATCACGAAAATGAAAGCGGAAATTGGAAATATAAAACTCACCACTGTCTTTTGAATACTCTCCTGCCATGGCGCTTACAACAGCCGTTCGATTCAAGTACTCATTAATTTTGGTTAGAAGCGCCACGAGCGGTGGAAATTCATAAGGTTTAGCTAGCGATTTCCAATGTGGCAACAATTGCGAACACAAAGAGAAATCAAACCGCCTGAAAAAAGTGTTGATCGCTGATCTCGGGCAGAATTTTAGAGGAGCTTCCCAATTAAGCTCTCGTTTTCACCTTATCTTTTGAAGCATTTTGTTTTTGTCATCTTATTCTCGTCAAGACCTTATTGTCATACTTCAGATGTACCTTGTTAAACTGTTTCTGTCCTGCTGACTCATATTTGATCTTTTCATTCATCATGCGATCAGCGTAAGGTTATAACCTTGTGATTGTTACGAGAGGATGGCTGGCCGGTTTAGGGCGATGATGCAGCTGGAAGGAAGGACAACGAAGCTGTGAGGAAGAAGAATGAAGATGATTACGGAGGATATGATAGTAAGGTATAAAAGGGATGGCGAAGCACGAATAATATTTATACCGTTAGACTCTTACGCCATCTAAGTGGCGATCAATGAGATTCGAACTTCGGAGGAAACCCCAATGGGTTAGCAAAAAACCGAGTGGTAAGTGAATGATAAGTATAGCGGTAGGCCCAGCCCACCCACTCAAATACCGAGACTCCACAACTGTCAGCGTTAAGAAGATCGCCTCCAATCAATGAAAACAGAACAGGCTCTCCAGCAAATACCTTTCGCCACTCCAAACTTGACGGCGTCCCAGCTCGGTAAGATACATAAGTCCTGTGACGGGATCCCTGACATGATCGGGAAGTAGCCGAGGAGGTGCTCGCTTTGGAGTTTCCGACAGTTGAGGTGTACGGTTCGATAGAGTACTGCAAAACAAAAGCTGAGGCATCATTGCCAAATTATCAATAAGAAACTGGAAGATCGTACCTTGCATTATCGGCATTCGGGGGAGTTACTTCAGCAATAAAATGAGTACCCATGTTTGCGTCAGCTTCAGAAAGTATTCCCTCTACGCACTCGATGACTTCGCATTGCTCGCGAACGGATGGTGGCTCAGGTGCTCCAAATATGATATCCCACAGAGATTGCTTCTGCTGAAACGTGACCAAAGTTACAATAAGGACTAATTATCGCCACCTGAAGCAATTACCGCCTGTTGTGTATAAGTGACCGCGATTTTCATTGGTCGTAAATTCGCAACAACTGTCTCTAAAAGCTGTCGCGTATGGGGTCGAGAATTGACGCCCAACTCCCTAAAAACATATTTAATTCCTTAGTATTGAGTATTTGTCAAAGAAGTCAACTAACCTAAGCATCGATACCATTGGCTCCTTCCACGAGAATTCCACAGCGGTGCGGATAACTTTAACACTTTCTGCAGTCAGGTCGAACATTGCTACTCTTTAATTAAAAATGTCCGCTGCTACTCTTAGCTGCCGATTTAGCAATGTACAAGGTGAGTTACTAACCTTCGTAATATTTTGCCGAGCAGAATTCTATAGAACTTCTCATGAACCCGTATGAACGGCATCCATGGACCTCTCAAGAAGTCTGCATTAGAAAGGGTCATTAACGCGTCCGCGTATCGCCAAGGACGGCAAAACGTCATCCAACATTCTGAATTCATCATTACTCTGATTATAACCTAGCTCCATCAGCGATAGATCTACGTAAAATGGCCGATGTCAGACTTTGCGATTGGAGCGATTGTGTACAAATTGCA